GGGGGGGGGGGGGGGGGGGGGGGACTTGTGGGTCTTGGAACTCCACACATAATATTTAAATTTTGAATATAATTATTTTGCTATTATATTCAAAATTATATTCAGTATTTATCTTTCTCCTTCGTAAAATCGATCTTAAATTCATTGAGGATAACTTTTAAGTAATTTTTTTCTATTATTTTGTGCAGGAACTACAGAAATTCGTACTTGGCTCGAGTTGGTGGAGTGACAACAAAGGAAATGAATAAATTGGAAGTTGAATTTTTGTTCATGATGAAATTCAAATTACATGTAAATGTCAGTGTTTTTGAGAGTTATTGCTGTCATTTGGAGAGAGAGGTTAGTACTGGAGGAGGTTACCAAATCGAAAGGACTTTAAGGTGTGCTGAAGAAATCAAATCAAAACAAAGAGAAGAAACAAGATATAATCAAAATATTGCTCGAATTTTACTATAGTTTGATATATTAATCTTTGTTTGTACATAAATTGTACGATTGGTATGCTGCAATAAATAGGTTTGAACGAATTATTTTAACTTCTTTTTCTTTATTATTGTCGAACATTTAATCTTACCCAACATGTTAAAATGGTACCTAAAAATTAAGATATTGCTTCCGAAATAAGAAGTTTTAACATAAACACATGTTTGCGGCAAAAAATTGTAATTCAAACAGCTTGACGTTTTGGTAAATTGTTTGATTTTCGTGAGTGCATTAATTGCAAATGTAAATGCCCTTAACAGTGCATATGTGGACACTCTCTCATAAATATTTTAATTCCATTTGTACTCTCATCTAAACAGTTATCTAGTAGAATCATGCTGCAAGTGCATATTTATTTCATAAAAATGTTTCACAGATAGCACTTTGCGAGAATTCATTGAAAGATTAAAAAAAAAAAAAAAAAGGGCAAGTAGGATGCTGTCACGACAACACCATGTATTAACTCTGTCAACCAAAGCCTATACATGAGGCTTAATTCTATCCAGTATTTACCTTATCATGTCTCCTCTCGTTCAATTCTAATTTGTGTTTGTTTTATTTTTTATTTTTTTTAATCCTCGTGATTTTCAAGTATAATTTTTGAACCAAAGAAAAGGAAAAGTTTCGACCCATATATTTTCTTCAAGCAAAAATTATGCCCAACGTCTAATTTCAAACTTACTTTCAACACGTTTTTACTTTGGAAATACTTTTCTTCTTCTTCTTTTTTTAATTATTTACTTTTTAATTAATTTTTAACATTAAAAATTTTGAAAATAAACATTAAAACTACTACTGGAATCTTCCGTTCCCACTTACTGATAGTTGAGAAAAGCGAAAGGAAAAATTACATAAAACCAGGTATTTAAACTTTCAAATTCATAATTGAGGGGTAAAGAAACTTTATGCAAAAATCAGGTATCCACTACAAAACCTAAATTTCCCATCCCCATCTCTAATATCTCCTCCCGTTTTTCTCCTCCCTCAGCAGCCGGCGCCTCTCTCCTCTCTCAACAGTCGCGCCACTGCCGTGGAAAAGAATCTCCAGCGTGACGGTGTTACCATCGGACTTCAACCACCCCTCTCTATTTCGACCGATCAATTGGCACCTTACAGTGCCACCGCATGATGCAACACATCTTGTACCGACATACGGCGAGGCGATGGCAAGGGGTTGAGCGCCGCTTCACCACTCACAACAACGACGGCGATGGCAAGGGGGTTTGTGATATGTCATTGAAAACTTTGATTATTCCAAAACCATAGCCATTTGTAATCTGTAGCTGCGATCAATGTGGTTGGTCTGTGATATGTCGAAGATGTGGTGTATTGTCTTGTGTGTTGGTTATGGTCCTGTGGCTATGATCGTTTTCGAATGTGGTGGAGATGTTGGTTGTGTTGTTGGTGTGTTTGGTGGTGGTGGTTGTGGTGGCTTCTAGTGGTGGTGGAGGTGTTTTTGTGGTTTCTGGCGACGATAGAGGTGTTCGTGTTGGTAGTGGTGATGTGGGTGGTATTGGTGAGATGTGGGTTGGGTTGGGTATTGTTGGTGTGTTTGGTGGTGGCAATCATGGTGGTTCTGGGCAACGGAGGTGGTTGGTGGTGGCTGCAGTTGTTCTAATTTTCGTTGGTATTTAATTTGATCTGGTGATGACGATGACGGTAATGGGTGAGGGTGGCGATTTTGTTGGTGGTGGTGCTGTTGTTGTGGTGGTGGATGCGATGGTGGTGCCGAGTGAAGGTGGATCGGGATTAGGTGTTGGATGTCTGTGACCAACTATTTGGTCCCTTCTGTAACTATGACCGTAAATTATGATCTTAAAATTCGATCATTTATAACTAAAAAAAGTAATTTGTAACCATCAAATTTGAAAATATCTGATATGTAACCTATAATTTTTTTATCTGTGACCTCGAAATAATATGTGCCGTATTAAAATTTTGATTTGTGACCTCGAAAAAATTGTGACTTTATCATCATTATTTAATAAATATTTTTAATTAATCAGTTAAAACCTGATTTTTGCATTAATGAAACTTGTAACTTGAATTTTGTATTATGCATAGTTAAAACATGATCTATGAACTCTTCCCAAAGCAAAAACCCAAAATCTCTCGCGTCTGAACACTAATTTCTCTTTCCTAAATTCAAAAATTTAGGAGGTGTTCTTTTTGTGTTTCAGTTTTGTGTTTTAAGTTTTGAATTCATTTTGAGTTTTGTATTTTGAGTGTTTGTTTTGAAATTGTTGAAAATGCGTTCTTTGTGTTAGTTTCTCAAAACGAAAAAAATGAATTTTTTTTTAAAATTTTGAGAATCATCACAATACCACATCAAAAAAAAAAAAAAAAAAAAAAAAGGTGTTTCCCGCGTTTTCAATTTTTTCAAGTTTTACACTGAAAACATCCAAAACGACAAAAAAGTCGTTTTGTGTTTTCTTCACAAATTTTTTTTTCGTTTTCGAAAATGGGAAAGAAAACACGTTTTCACCGTTTTGAAAAATCGAAAACAGAAAATGGCCCGAAAACCGTAAAGAGAACAGGGCCTTAATTTCTTATCTCAAAAATAAAATTTTTTATTAAATTTATTTTCGTTGACAATTTTTTTACTTATAGATGATATATTTTGTTGGCAAAAATTTCACAAAGAAAAAAGCAATAGAAACTTTGCTTTTGCTTTTTATTTATAGGTGATGGCAGCGGGGCGGGGCCGTCTAACGGTTGCTTGTCCCATTTGCCGTCCCATTTATTTATTTTTTATTTTATTTTTTTCTCTTCATGGGGCAGGTTTGGGGTGGGACATACCCTCCCCACCCTGCCAACCCGTCGGGGCGGGGAGTTTTGCCATCTTTATTCTGTTGTCACAATCTTTCTTTCTATAATTTTTGTTTTTAGATTTCATTTGAGCTCAATATTATCTCAATTATATTATTATACGTAGGTAAGACTCTACACCCCTCTTTAATATTTTGAATTTTTTTTCTTCTATTGGTTAATAATCATGTAATAGTCTATTTCGATTTGTTAGAACACAACCCTATCTTATTGTGTAATTAAATATCCCTATATGACAACATCAAGAGACCTAAAATCAAAATAAGAAGTTTGAATTAAAAGAAGAATCATATTTAAGGGCCAGTAATTAAAAGATAATTGATTAGTGATAATGATCCTACAATATATTAGTGTAAATAATTGTGTGGAAAAGCAGCTCAAACCAACCGACAGACAAGGAGGAGCAAGGAATAGTTTTCTTGGCGTGGATTTGAAGGGAAGTCAATAGTTTTGGCAGTTAGAACCACTGTCTCTTTTACTCTTTTGGACGAATGAACGAGAGAGAAACACTCCTCAGTCAAAGAAATTATGTATGTATAGGTTATATACATACCTCCGCCGTGTTTGACAGGCGGCGCCACCACTACATGGCTGTGGAAAATGTCTAGTCCTCACTATATATCATGCCCTCCTTCCACTTGTCACCGACTCACCATACTCTCTCACTCCTCTTTCTCTCTCATCCACAAACCATCACTCTTAACTAAAAACTAGGAGTAATCTTGTTTTCACCATACAACCCTACAACAACTTCTACTTTAAGAACAAACTCCATCCCCATGCATGTTTTTCCATTCACAATTCCTATTGGTTTTTCTCTCTCTCTCTCTCTCACCTTTTTTTTAAATTTTTGAGTTCAATCTTCTTGTATTAATCATGGATTGCATTGATGATCAACCACCAAATTTTAAGCATTATTGTAGGGTATGCAAGAAGGGTTTTATGTGTGGGAGAGCTCTTGGTGGGCACATGAGGGCTCATGGAATTGGGGATGAAATTGGAAATCTTGATGAAGAAGATCCCACGAGCGATTGGGAGGATAAGAATGATAGGGCAAGTAAAAAGAGAATGTACCAATTGAGAACAAATCCTAATAGGTTAAAAAGTTGTAGGATTTGCGAGAATTGTGGGAAGGAATTCTTCTCTTGGAAAGCTTTCTTGGAGCATGGAAAATGCAGTTCCGACGCCGAGTCACTACTGTCATCCCCGGAGTCAGAAGCGGAGGAGGAAGAGGGAAGTGGTAGACGAGCCGGAGTAGGATGGACCAAAAGGAAAAGATCATTGCGTGCAAAAGTGGGAAGTACTCTAATTAGTTCAGCTTATCCATCAAGTGAAGATGAAGACCTCCTCCTTGCCAAATGCCTCGTACAATTAGCCAACACACGAGTAGAACTGCCGACAATGGTGGAGGAAATGGAGTACTCCTCCACTTCCGCCAGTCGGGAGGAGGAACGACAGAATGCAATGGCCATCTTTCTCTCCCCTCGAAGATCGACTCCCTTAGACAAGGCTAAAGGGGTATCATCCAATAATTTCAAAGGAATATTTGAATGCAAAGCCTGCAAAAAAGTGTTCAATTCTCATCAAGCATTAGGGGGACATAGAGCAAGTCACAAGAAGGTTAAAGGGTGTTATGCAGCCAAACAAGATCAGGATCATCAACTTTTAGATCATAGTTTAGCTGATGAAGATGTGATCACATATGATGAATTTTTCCCTGCATCCAAATCACCATACAATTCCCCTACTATGCAATTTGAACAAGGCTCTACTTCATTAATAGGTGCAGCAAGGAGGAAATCAAAAGTGCATGAATGCACTATTTGTCATAGGGTTTTTTCCTCTGGTCAAGCTTTGGGTGGACATAAAAGGTGCCATTGGATCACTTCAAATTCACCAGCAGACACAACAAAACTCCAATTTCATCATCATGTTGAGCCCATCAATCACTACAAACCCAAAATCAAGAAATCTGACCAGGCCCTTGATCTTAACCTTCCAGCATGGGCTGACGACATCTCGGGTTTAAGACGGGACCCACGTAACCCTTTGAGCTTCGAGGTCTCGACCGATATACACCTACATCCATGGATAAACACTGGTCGTGACGAGACGATCACCGGAGATATCAATAGCGATCCCATCCAGTACGATCAAAGAAACGAAGATGATAACAACAATAAAAATAATGGGTCCCGAGCTGATGGGAACAACAATAATAGCA